CTTTCTCTCCCCCCTCCATCTCTGTCCCCCCCAGCTCATCTCTCTCTCCCCACATCTCTCTGTCTCTCCCCCACCCCACATCTCTCTCTCATCCACATTACAGTTAGAACCTTCTTAACTCCAGCACTGTACCTCTAACCGGAACCTGTGAGACTTCAGGGAATGTTTAATGAACCTGTATGTAAGGACTGGTGTGACTGGTCCAATAGAAGTTCTCATTTAGGTTTAAATGAATTGTCTGTTGTTGCAACTCATAAAGCACAAATTATTTTCTATTTAAGTAGAAAGTACTTGATTGGATTTGATGTGAAGCCTTGGATAGTGATCTGGGAGGAAGATAACCATAGAGGTGTTGACTAGAAAGTCTTGCTGTGCTCCCCTTCTGAATCAGTTTACCTATCGCCTCCTAGAAAGTCGGGTATCACTACACATCCATGCATTTGCATTTTCTATTTGTAATCGGGAGGCTATTCCAGGGCCTGCCTTCGGGTGCTGCCCTTTTGAGCTCTCCAGAAGTTTGAATGGGGACTGTTTATTTTTTGGCTTTGACCAGAGTCAAAGCTCTACTTCAGAACTGTGAACCGAGATGAGACCTGAGAATCTTACTCTGCTCTCCTTTGCCCTACCCCCACATGTTTAAGGAATGTGCCCCGTTCCACGGCCAGGCAGCTGCACGGCACAGAGTGTCATGCCGCGTCCTCTAACCCTCCCCACCTACATGTGGAAGCGACAGGTGGACAGGGGTGTTCATACTTGTCAACAGAACAAATCCAAAGAAGTTGTCTTCTGTTCTACTTTAGGCCACCATACATTAGGTCGCCTGCTTATCCCAGCCAGTCTGGGGCTGGCGGACGCCCCATGTTTTCTTCCCAGCACCCCAACTATGGCAACTCTCAGGCTCCCATGATGCACCAGCCTGACCAGTACGGGTAGGTAGCAACAGACCCTGACTCGCTGGGGACCTGGGCGTTTTTTTAAACTGTTAATGAACGTGCCATCTGGCTGCGAAAGTAACACCCAAAACAAGAAGTGAAAGACCTAAAAGGAAATTCTGAGAGGGGTTGTCGTTTGGTTTTTGTGTGTGTGTGTTCTGGGCTTTCTGTTCTGTTCGCTCTGTGTTGTCTCGTTAACGGCGCTGTGCAGTTTGGTAGCCGCCTGCATGCTGTCCCCAGGTCTGTCTGCATGGCTGTCCGCACGGCTTTCCTCATGCCTGGGAGGAGTCAGCGTTTTATCCACAGGCCAGTGATGAAGTCCCCTGCTCTGGTGTCATTCCCCCCACTGTGGTCTCGGGTTGTCTGGGTACCTGTCCTGTGTTGTCACGACAGTGTGTGTCATTCCTTCCACCGCAGCGACCGGCCCCACACCCCCCGAGTTCCAGGTGCTGGGGCCACGCTTGGCCAGAGACTCACTGCAGGAGGCGGGGCTTAGGTTACTGGCCAGACCGTGAGGAATTTGTTTTGTAGATCCCCACTGAGTACACTTCCATGCCAGAGATTTCTGCTGTCTCCTCCTCCTAAGGAGTTGTAGAATATTGAAGTCACCAGAAAAATACAACCAAATAATCCTACGTAGAATTTTCTTTCTAAACACAGTGTTGCCGTATTATTATCAATTACAACACAGGAATTACATACAGCAACAAAAAGTGTCTCTTTGCTACTACAGAACTGTAATATCAGGCTGTTACTGCTTCAGGTTAGTGAGCGCACTTAAAGTATATTATTACTGAGTGATTTACAAATCAAAAATATTACGATAGTACGATTGATACCATTTTCGCATAGAAACGATAAGATTATCCTACATTGAGGGACTCGTGCAGTAGTTAGTTTCTGTGGAAACTTACCACATTTTTGTTAAAATTGGGATCAGTCAACTAGCTTTGTTTAAATATGAAACTTATGGAGCTGTGCTTTCACTAGTTACGAATGCATGACACAGAGAGCTTTTTAATAGTTTTATGTTCAGTATACATTTATTTCTACAGCAAGAGCAAATGATAATTCTGCAATTGAGAGTTCTAAACCCTGTAAACATGGTCCTAACTGTGGACCAACAAGTAGAGAATCCTATCAACATAATCCTAAAAGTGCAATAACAAATAGAGAATTGGGTGAACACACTTATTTGGGGGGAAATTGTCTTTTCCTCTTGTGGCACCTTCAAGGTCACTGCATGAGCCCAGAAGAAGGTGGCAGTGGGGAGAGGAGCATTTGTCATCAGCTGCTAATCCATAGGATCCGTCCTTCCCCACCTCAGGAGTCCTATCTAGACCCGCGCAGCTAGCTTGCCTGTGCTTTGCCAAGCCACATTAAGCAGCTGTGTAAAATGAATTTAAATGGCATGCATCAGAGTAAAATCTCTTCCACTGGGGCAGAAAATCAATGTTAGCTCACCAGCACGAGGAGATAGGTCTGCGCTGCAGCTAGCAGCATCCAGGAGCTTCCTAGAATGCAGCTCCTCCTCCTGAATTAAAAAGAAGAGAAGAGAGATCTGATAAAGCGCTTGCGGGAGGCTCATCTTCCCGCCCCACCTGGTTAGCTCTGAATCTTGTCTTTCATGTCTACGGTATTCTTTCTGAAAAAAGAAAGAAAGTAAAGTTTTATTTCTATTTTAAGTCTTCCTTCCTTTACACTTTGCAATGCACACAACCTGTGGTGCTTTTTTTTTTCTTTTTTTTTTTAAAGCAGAAGCTTGAATGTGGGGAAATGTGTGTGGTCCATGTTTAAGCGCTATGGGTTAGTGAGTTTGATTTTCCACATGCTTTTGGTGTACTTTACAGCTCATTGCAGCAAACTTGTGTTTTTGTTTGTTTTTTCCCATTGGCAGCTGTGGGATTAAATTTAGGGTGGCAGTTTGAAGAGCCAGTTCTCTGTCCGTCTCTCTTTGGGAGAGGAAGAGGTGTTGTAATGACTTCTAAGTCAGAATCCCAAAGGCTGGAGCCTAAGAAAGAAGCTGAGAAAGCAAATTAATGACGCGGTAGTGGGTGGAAGGTGTGGCAATTAGGAAGAGAGCTCACTGTAAAAATGAGGGGATGCGGGCAGGGTGCTTCGGGCTTTCTCCGCTGGTTGAATATAAGGCCGTGGAGAGAGAAACACACAGGTGTAACTGTTTCAAAGCTGTTTTACTAATTCCTTTCTTTAAGAGACGGTACATGGCT